TTCTTTTCCCTTTAAGAGCGTCTTCAACTGTGTCATTTATGGGGTTGCTTCAGCAGAAGCCCTCTTCTGCTTAAACATGAGCGTTCTTGTTCTTTTCGCTTGTCCCTCTCCGTTAATGCCTGTCTCAGGTATAGCGGAGATCAGTGCTCATCTTTCTTTGTTTGACATTAGTGGAAAGAAGTGAGTCAGTTCAGACTGAGATGGAAGAATTATCACAATGGACTGTCACAGGGTGGAAGGGTAGTTCTTTCTGCTTGGCTCTGGGAAGCTACTGGATAGTGGATGTCATCTCAGCCTTGAGACCTGAGTTTGAGAACCCGGAACCCACAAGATAGAAAGGAAGACCCAAATCCTGCAAGGTGTCCTCTGACCTTCACATCTACACAGAGGCGTGTGTGCACCTACATACAAAGATAAACAAACAAGCAAACATGTGAATAAAAGTGTAACAAAGCTATTAATAAAAGTTCCTTCTGCTAGAGGTTGACTTTTCATTTTTTGAGGGGGAAAGTATCCTTGCAACAGAAAGCAGAACACTGAAGAAGAATGGAAATGACTGTCCTCCATTTGTCCACTGTCTGTTCTAGGCTTTTCTAGATTAATCTTCAATGTTCTTATTCGTTTATTCAAAAGTCGGCTTTTGAAATCCAGCTTCTTTCAGTTGCCTCTGCTAGGGTTGTAGAGGGATCCTAATAGTTTATTTATCTGTCTTTGTGGGATTTAAAGTACAGCACGAGAGATATGTAACAAAAATAGACAGTGAATAAATGGGTTGTTGAAAGTGGATGCCATGAAGAGAGTGGACAGAAGCTATGGGGTTCTGGGGTGGCAAAGCACCCAAGACCTTTGTTAAACAGTAGAGACTTAAGTAAAATGTAGGAGTATACCAGACTTGTGAACATTTTCCTCTTCTCTTCCTTCTCTTTCACTCCTTCTTCCAAAGGTGGGTTCACACTGTCCATACTATTTTGTAACTTGATTTCTTAACCCATTAATATAATATAGACTTCTTCCATCATAGTGTGTCAACCCTACTGTCATTCTTTTTAGTGTACAGAATTCCATGAATACAGATGTGCACACACACATATATATATATACATACACATATATGTACTTTCAGGTACATACACACATGTTTTGCATGTACACATAGGTCTATGCACATCTTTGTCAGTTTTTCTCTGATGTGGTAACATGTCTGATGGAAACTAATTAAGGGAGGAAGGATTTCATTTTTCAAAGGGTTCAGGAGATGGTCACTTTATGTTTCTGGGCCCAAGATGAAGCAGAAAGGACACCAGGGCAAAAGGGTCTGGTGGAGAAAAGCTGCTTACCTCCTGATGGCCAGGAAGCAGAAATGGGGATATAGGAATGGCTCAGGACAAGGTACAGCCTCTTAGACCATGTCTCCAGAGGCATACTTCCTTCAGTTAGCCCCCACCCCACAGTCTCCAGAACCTCCCAAAATAGTGACATCAGCTAGAGACAGCTCTCACAGGAGCCTGTGAGGGACATTGCACGGTAACAGCTTAACTGTCTGTGCATCTTTGTGGAGTGACGTTGTACATACTTACGTGGTTGCTGACGTGCGAAGGGAATGTCAGCTATAAGGTGTGGTGGTGTGACTCAAAATACAGGAGCCCGTTTAAGCTGGTTTTAATATTCTGTATAAACTTTTTTCTCTAAGTGTGTAGTGACTTCCATTCTTTCCTGTTTCTGTTGTCTTAATTCTTCCCATTTAATTCCCATTCTGCCCTTTTCATATGCCCATTTCTCTGATTTCCTTGGAGTCACAGCATAGAGACCTGGTTTAATTCATATTATTGTTACCAGGGAATCTTTGTATTGTGGAGATGAGGACTATGCATAATGTAAAATACATCTCTGGGGCCAAGAGTGGCATTTGTTTGGAGAAGGTGGTTTCGTGTGTGGGTGGGATAGAATGCACAGTGCTTTCCCAGGGAGTCAGCTCTACTTCTTTTTAATCTGCCGTGTCTCCCCAGTTATACCATCCTATTCATAGAGTTGTTGGTTAACAGCCATCCATTCATTCAATCATTTATTCATTGAGTCACTTAATATCTGAGCTCTGAAATTCTATCTCAAGCTTTAGGTATTAGATAAGTGATATGGACAGTTTCTACCTTCATAACACATATGAATTAACAGAAGGAAAGCATGGAATGGGGAAAATTTCCAACAAAATACCCCAATAAATAAGTAACACGTTGAGCTGCATTGTAGTAACTACCCAAGAGAGAAACAGTCATATTTAGACTAAGTGTAAGGTAAGCTAGGGCATCTACACTGACGTCTAAAGGGCAAAGAGTAGTGGTTGAGGAAGGAAGGGCAGGGGCTGCCCAGAAGAAGCTTGCCTGGCCTGGACCTGAGGTCTGATGGAGCATGCTGTGTTGGAGGGATCACAACTGGCCCATGAGTCTGGAGCTTGGCAAGAAAGGGTAGCAGGTCAGCGGCCTGGCATTACGCCACACCATGGATTTATTCAAAGTGCAGTGGGAAGCTGTTCAAAGGTCTTAGACAACGAAATGGCACAGTCTCCTGGACATTTCAAAAAAGATCAGCTAGATGGGACAGATCTATTTGATGGAGTCAAAGCGGAGACAGCAAGACAAAGAGGTAGGCTTTGCACTACTCCCAGACATAAATAAAAACAACTGGGCTGAAGACAGTGATGATGGGTAGGGAGAGAAGACTCCAGGGATGGGCCCTTGCCCATAGTTAGCCTCAAGCAAGCTGGAGGAGTTCCCCAAGGACGTTTCACCCCGGAAGGATTTTGGTGAGCGTGCAGACACCAAGGGTCTACTTTTTCCTCATCTGCTCTCCTCCTTGTGCAATGGGGTGTGGCTGTGTCAGTGGGCTGCTTTTGAATATCACTCCCTCTTCAGAGCTCAGACTTCTCAGACTTAGAGTAGGATAGGGTATAAACACAAGGGTGCTCTTGACACTGCCCCACCTTGGGTTCTTAATGGGACCAGCCATTTTTAATCATGATGTTAACCTGACAAGCCTAAGGAATGCTGGTAGAGAGGATTGGCTCTCATGGATACTGAAGATGGGTTTTTAAATACTGTTTTAAACATTTTGTTTGTGCATGTGCATGTGTGTGAGTGTGCCTATCATGGTGCATATACGGAGGTCAGAGAGCAACTCTAGGAAGTAGGTATTCTCCTTCTAACCTGGGGTCATGACTGAGTTCATATCTTCAGGCTTGGTGGCAAGCATCTTTACTTGCTAAGCCATCTTGCTGGCCCCCGGAGTTGAATTTTAAGTTATTTATTTTGCACAATTGCCAATTCCTAACATTTCTCCCCCCCCCTCTGTCTTTATTGGTCTCTTAGATGGGATACCTTGGTCCTACCACCACAGAGTGTGACTTATTAGTGGAACAGAACTTAGGCCGTGAGAAAAGAGTTTCTGACAAATCAGAAAGTTATTAGGTTATGGGGGAGACAGGGTTTTTCAGATGGGGCTTTGAGAATAGAGATACAATCCTTTCCATTGCCTTCTGAAAAATAAAAATATAGTTCTAAGACCAAGCTGATTCATCTCTTGGGGATACAGTCAAAGAGAGGAAGAAGTTGTCTCAATTTTGGTGAAAGACTTAATATGTTATGAAATATTGCTGGGCCCTGAAAAATGAAGTTCAATATTTGGTGGTCTCCAGCAGAGATCTAGGTTTATGCTCTGTGTGTATATGTGTATTTGGATACATTAGAATGTATGAGAGGGATGGAGAAAATTACATATTTTACTTATGGTATGCAGTGGAGTACAGCTCCTGGGTCACCTTCCGGCCTTCTTTATTGATCAGTCATGTTCTTCCACAGTGTAGTCCTGCGTGGAGACCAGGCAGGGGGAAACTGTTACTTACAATTGTATTTCAGATGCATAGTTTCCTGCTGAGGACGCGTATTTCTCAGAAACATGACATTTGCAGCTGGGGATTGTATATCTCAGATAGTAGAGTGCATGCAGGAAGCCCTAAGTTGAACCCCTAACACTATAGCATGAAGTGGGTACATTCCTATAATCTCAGCCAGCACCAAGGAGGAGGGTCAGAAGTTCAAGATTATCCTTAGCTACATAGCTACATAAGACTCTGTCTTGAAAGAGATAAGAAATACATCTTTTTTTTTATTCACTCCTTTGAAACACCTTGGATTTTTTGTTTGTTTGTTTGTTTTTGTTTGTTTGTTTGTTTCTGGTGTTAAACCTGGCAATCTCAAGGTCCTAAACAAAGTAGGATCTAGGAACCAGCGCTTTCCTTGCTCGTGACTGTTGTCCCTATGTCCTAATGTTTGCAGTCAGGGTTGTGTGAGCCAGTGGGTCCATGGTCCCCAATTCTTTAAGAAAACTAAAGTGGCCACCAAAGCCAGAGGACTAAGAATGGATCCTCCGCTTTATTCTCTCTCACTTTCTCCTCATTTGAATCACCCTGTATTGCCCTTATTCTCGAGAAGAAGTTCAAGTGCAAACATCATTGTGCTGGGAGTTTTGAGAAGGCTGTGGTTGAAGAAAGTGCCACCCATCAAAAAGAGAAGAAAAAGAGAATCCATTTAATACATAATGACTAGAGGGGGGAATCACATGATTAGTGTGTTCTTGAGGGAAGAATGTTTGATCCACCCACGACCCTGAATATTCTTATTGGGTAGATATAAGAATACAGTATTTCACATTGAACTCTGCCAATACCAGTACAGTGAAGGAGAGACCCCATCTTAGGGGCTGTATTCCTGGCTCTGGGAGAGTCCCCCCTCCCTCTCCTGTCCTCTGAGTAGGGAGAGGTTAAGCCTGGCCATTAACCCATAAGTGACCCAAATAGAATTTTCTGCCCCTAGGATCCGTTGATTGCCAGGTATGGCTTTGTGGTAATTCTAGCATTTGCAACCCAGCAATTTGAACCTTCTGTCTGCTTAAATGATGATCTTACATTGTAATGGTTGGTACTAAATCCTCTCGCTTTTGCTCCGTAGCCGCTGTTGTGACAAGAAAAGCTGTGGCAACCGAAATGAGACTCCCTCAGATCCAGTGATAATTGACAGGTAGGGACCACTCTTCTTTCACTGGATTCTTATTCCTCATTATAATGAAACACCTGCTTTGTGTCGCTCATGGGCGAGGGTTAGGATGCATGTGGCTGAAGTTTGCCTGTTGGTTCTGACTCACGTTGCGCCGAGTGATTGCGATTTTTGGGAAAGCCATCTGGAATGTTCTTTGGAGGCCTGTTTCTCGGATGGCTCTGGTTTCGTGCCTGATTAATGCTCATAAAGTAATATATACGTGTGTGTTCATTCCTCACTCTCTGTGGCTCAGTCCCCATGCCGTACCAGGAAGCTTCAGAAATAAAATAATAATAGTTTGTGATTTATGAAATGTGGTTGGGTGCTTATAAATATTTAACTTTTATTTGAAAAATGTTTGAATCATTATCACTTTTAGCTACAGTAGTTTTTTTGGATGTAATCCATCTACATTTTAAGGTTTTATTTATGCATAAAAGCAGTTTAAAGAGATCTGTGAACCAAGATTTTTCTTCTGTTATTTCCGGGCTTGACTGCAGCTCACACAGTATTGTAAGTTGATTAATTTATCCTGCTTGTCTTAATTATTGTGTTTTTAAACAGATCCATATTACTAATCTGACATGACCAAGTAAATCACTGCAGAACAATACATCTGTTTCAGTTTGCCAGTGCAGTTTTGAGTTGGTGTGCACACAGTATGCTGAATGGCATCCCAAATATTCATTTTACATTTTAATTATTGAAATTCATTGTATGGAAACATGGATGATAAACCATTTGTTACATAGCATTACTCATTGAGAGTTAAATGGCCCGGAAGCTTTACAGAGACTGTCAATTGTCAGCTAGGAAAAGAGCTAGCATCTTCTACTCATTGGAGGAAAAGAGCCTTCAATCAAATAAGGCAGCTTCCTTCATTGAGGAAATCAGTGACCAAACAGATACTTTTGGGCTTTGGTAATATTGTCTTAGGCAGCAGCACAAAGATAAAGCAAAAAAGTTAAAAGAGGCGAAGTTTCAATGTACGGTGATGCTGTCTGGTATCCGCTGAATGAGAATGGCATGCTTATCTGCAAGAGCAGATATTTCATTCATAGAATTGTATTTTCTGTTGGTGTCATTTGTGTATACCTTTCAGAACAGGGCTTCCTTTTTGAGGCAAATATTTCTTGCATTAAAAAGAAATCATCTCACTTAAGAGCCAGCCTGAATACTCCCCAAACTTTGAAACCGTAAGCGTTTTGCGGCATCTCATAGTCCTTTTCGATGTATGTGATGATGATGGCCTTCCGTGCCACTGGTAATGAAAACGAGTTTCCCCCTCTTTTGCTTGTGAATGGGTTAAGCTTTACAGTTCTTCGTTTGGTTTTAAGCTGTGACTCTGATGCAGAAGGCTGATATGACTGTGGTTTGAATAACATCTGATTTTGACCTGTTCCTGTGGGCTGCGATGGCAGGAGAAACTTGACTCAGCAGCGCTGTAATTAGCCCGCCCATGTTTTTGAAACAGGATTGTGTTACCTGGATTGCATTAGTGTGGCTTCTATTGTCGCCGCCTTGCATCTGTCCCAGTTGGGTACTTAAAACCGTTTTCTTGGCTGGGGGAGTTCAAACAATTTAGGCAGAATAAGTCTGCACTTTATACTGTGTGGTGGCTTTAGAGATATTATTTATGACAGCTATACTTTTTCTCCCCCGCTGACACCACCCCTGTTTCGGGTAGACAAAATAAAAGCCCTGAGCAGCTAACTTTAATTCTTTAAGGCAGGGACACTTTAAACACGCTAAGACATCCTGAATGTGCTCAAGTCCCAATATATATTTATTTGCTGCTGTTTGCCACTGTCTGACATGAGCTATCATTTCAGGCAATGAGACCAGTTGATAGGCAAAGTTCCCAGTTGGCTATTTCTATTTGCATGTGAGTTTTCAAAGTTGTTTGCCCCTTTATTTTGCCAAAGATCAGAAAAATAAACCTCCACTTCTGCCTGCCGATAGGTAAAAATTTCCTTTCTAAAAGTGAGGCATGAAAATCACAAGAACGTCAGCAAAGAAGGACAAAACAGAAAACCTTTTTTCCACTCCACAAAATTGCTGCAAAAGGGGAAAAATATGATGGCAACGGTGTTTGGATTTCAGTTTTCAATTTCATTCCGTGTTACTGATTGCATAATATCTGTTACGTGCTTAGGGTTTGATTTGCTTTCAGATTTATGGATACGAGTCTCTGAGCCTGCTGTACTCAGTAGCAACAGTCAGTTTTTATAATATGCATAATGTATGCAATATAAGACTGAGGGTATGAGCGGTGGTGGCCTTACATGTTGCCATAGCATTAACACACGTTCACCTCTTTTTGAAAGCTAATAATTTTTAGCTCCCTTTGCTTGACCTTCGGAATTTGGAAGAACACTGCTATTTTTATCAGTCAAAAGACTTTTAGCAATGATTATTCAGGAAAACTATTTATAGTGTAGATGGAGGAGGTTTTCTGGTCACACAGCACTGGTGCAGGGCCAGGCATTTCTGTGTAAAATTTTGACTATGTTATTTGTTGCCAGTTATTTGGAGACCTCAGTTTGGCAAGTGTGTGTGCCTGTGTGTGTGTGTGTGTGTGTGTGTGTGTGTAAAATGAAATTAACAAAATCAGTAGCTGTACAGACAAGTTTCTATTTCCTTCCAGTGGCATGCAACAAAGTAAGAAAATATGACCCAAATTACTTTTTTCAGTCATGACAATTTGTCAAAATGTTTATTGGAAAATTGCTGTGTGGTGTAGGAAGGGGCTTCTGGAGGCGACTGCTAGGTTACATTTCTACTCGATGCCAAATAGCTCGATTAAGAATCATAAAACCCCAGCCTGTGCCCAATGATCCAGATATTTGGGCTGTGCAGACATGGGAAAAGTCAAACGTGTTATGTTTAATAGCTGATGAACAGGAACTAACAACAACAAATTTCATTATCTTTGAGATAAAGGGCTATGTGCAATAATTATTGTTAAAGTAAAAAGCAAAAAATGACTTCCAGTTATTGAATTAAGGTGGGGATTGATTTAACATTCATGCACCAACTCAGATTTGAATTTAAAAGGTTTGCAATAAAATTCCTGTTTAGAAATTGAATACATTGTAGTTTTATTACTACAGTGGATATCCTTGTGTCCTAACCTTTTCCCGTGGAGTTATCTTAGTTCAATAAATAAAACCTCATTAGACTATTCCCATTTCAATGAGTTTATTAAATTTTGCAGGAGTAATTAGCATAAGCTGTGCTAATTTTTCTGGAAGACTAATGAAGGAGGTTCTTAATTAGGCTTACTTTGTAGGAATCAGAAAAGAGGATGATGACAAAAGTCACATAGGGTACTCTGAATTGGGAACCCACTTTCTCAGAATCCACACAACTTCTGTTTCTCCATGGAAATTTGGTTCTGTGCACTTTAACTGTACAAAAAGCAAAGACTTTCATTCTGTATTTAGTTAGTTAGAATGAGGAGCCTTGCTTGGTTAAGAAAACTTTTCAGTTTCTTAGACAGTCTTGTACTGGTGAGTCGGAAGAACACCGATGGCCTTACAAAATCATCCCTTTCTTCAAGTTTTACCATAGAGTTCCTTTCATAGGGAGCACTGATGTTTCTGGCCAGAATATGGGAGGCAGGGACAGTTCTATGTTGTTCTTCAATTTAGCATCAGTGTAATGGATGAAACAGTTTGACCAAGTGAAGGAAGGCATATGTTCTTAGGGCTGTGGCTCCTTAGCTGTCAACATACAGAATTTGTTTTTAAGAAGTAATACAAGATAAACTCATAAAGTGTGTCAGTTAAAACCCAATCCTTTCAGGAACATATATAATTGTTGTTCAAGTCATTTTGGATACCCCATAGCCAGTATTTAAAACTGAGTTGTTGTTTCTTTTTAAGCCCATCAACACACATTCTTCTAATGATTTGGGTTTCCTGTTTGCTAAAATCTTGCCTTGTCTGTCTTTTCCATTGTAAGACTCTCTGCGTCTATGCTTAGAGCTAGGAGATACAGACCCCTACATGTGACATTAAAGAGAATACGTGACTTTTGAGACACAAAAACCCTAGCCTGTCTGGAATCAGTTAATGCCATACTTATCCAAAGCTCTCCTAAAAAGAAGAAAAAAAGAACCAAGATTTGTTTGTTTGTTTGTTTGTTTGTTTGTTTGTTTTTCTGGAATGGTCTAGGGTTTTTCTACATCAAGTTCATTTCAGTAATGCCAACTGACTTTGTGAAGACTGTAATGCAAAATGGAATTGTCTGCCAGGAAATAACTAGGATGCTCATTTTACCTGCCACAGGCCACTTGACTAGAAAACTGTGGCCGTGGTGGGATTGTTCTGATGGAAATTTTCATTGAAGGTCCATGTTTTCATCCCAGAGGTCAGCAAGTCAAGGTGAGACACGGGAAAGCAGTGCTATCTTACCATATGTAACTTCCTTGATTAACTTGTCGCCCACATTTTTACCTGACCATGTGACCATCAGCATGGCAGGGAAACAACAGTCACATGTAGATTCAGGATACTCACAGGCAATTTTTACCACTGTGCATGCATAAGAGAATTTATTTCCCTGAATTTCTGAAGGCATAGAGATCCTCCAGCGAATAACTTCCTTCTGCCTTTGTATCATCGATGGTAAACTCCCAAATCCATGCGACATGTTTTTCTGTCTCTGTGTCTCATAACAATGAAATCCTTCACTTAGATCACTTCTCAGCCTGTGCATTACGACCCCTTTGGGAGCCAGGTGACCTCTTCACAGGGGTCTCCTAAGACCATCGGAAAACACAGGTATTTACATTATGATACAAACAGTAGCAAGATTAAAGTTATGAAGTAGCATTAAATAATTTTATGGTTTGGGAAGGGAGTCAACGTAACATGAAGAACTGTATTAATGGGTTGCAGCATCAGGAAGATTGAGAACCATTGACTTAGATGATCATGAAGCTATGCTCCCTAAATATTGCAAACGAGAGGCTTAGC